TATATATATATATTTTATCTGCTTTGGTTTCTGTTTTGTAATGTTTGATGCATGAGGTTAATTAATTCATTTTTCCCTCTATTATGAAGGAAGAAACAAAGGACTTAAGGGCTTAGCTGCTGCTATCTTAAAGTTGTGGGAGAAGAGTCTTATTGCAAAAATAGCTATCAAGTACGGAGTTCCAAATACTGACAATGAAATGATGGCCAATGAACTGAAGGCAAGTTTGATAGAAAATTCATCCATGAATGTAAGATGCAAGACATCCTAGACTTTAGGTGTAGTCAAGATTGTCAATTTTGAGAGTTTACGTAATCTCATTGAGGTCCTATAAACTCGGATTGTAAACTCGTAAGAGTTTACTTAATATATAAATTATGTTATAATACTTATAAAAAACATAATAATTCAACATTTCAACTCCATATTAAAGTAAAATAGCAAATTACAATATTAAAGTAGCAAATCATACAAAATTTCACACAAGACACAAGTTCTTGGAATAACTAATAAAAAATTAAGAAAAGACTAATTTTTGCCTTTAGCAACAAAGGGGACAAGATTGCTTGAGATTGCACGAGCTTGCTCAAAAATGAGTTTACTTTTGAGTTGTACAGGTAGGGTTGACCAATCTTGTAAACTCGGTAGTTATTACAAGTTATCACTTGAGATTGACAATCATGGATGTAGGCATGTAGCTTTTATCAACAATATTATGAATGAGCTTGACTTTTTCATGTTGTGTTGAGTTGGAAACTGTTGAATGATTGTCCTGACTCACTTTTTGAGGAAGAACTTGTCACTTTGGTTGTGCTCACTTGAAATGTAGCTTGATACAAGAATGACTGCATTAATTACTGCAAACATCAGGGCCTATAATAATTAAATTTAAAATGGTTGGGAAAGATTCCACAATGCCTATTGGAAGCAAAAATAGCTTGTTGCATCAACAATAGTTTTCCAGATTATTTTGCATATATGCTCTATGTTTAATAGTCATTCATAGGAGACTGGTGGACTCGGCCACTTGGGCTCCTCTTTTGTAACTTGAATAATAGTTCTTGTACCAGTTTTGGTTTATGCATCCAGAAACAGGAGTAAATAACTGGTGTATTTAATGCAGTGTCTCACTGGAGGAGTTTTGTTGTTGCGCAACAAGTTTTACATAATACTCTATAGGGGAAATGATTTCCTTCCAACAAGAGTTGCAGCTTTGGTAGAAAAGAGAGAATTGGAGCTTAGAAGTTGCCAACATCACGAAGAAGTTGCACGAATGAAAGCAATTCAAGCCTTTTCTTCTATTGATGAAGTGCCACAAGACACTAGTACAAGTGGAACTTTAACAGAGTTTAGGAAAATCCAAACAAAGCTTGAGGATACAAAAGAAGCCAAAGTAAACATTCAACTGGAAGCAGAAATATTTAGAGTGGAGAAGGAATTGAAAGAGGAACAGCGCAGAGCATTCATTGTAAGATTTGATTTATTGAATTTTTCATTTTGCATTTGTCATATGTTGATACTCTCTTAAATTTATTGTTTGGATTCTGCAGCTTAGCAAGAAAATAGAGAGATCAATGAGGGAATTATCAAAGTTGAATGCTGCATGGACACCTAATGAGCAGGATACTGACTTGGAAATAATGACAGATGAAGAGAGAGAATGTTTACGGAAGATAGGGTTGAAGATGCCAAGTTGCTTAGTGCTTGGTAAGAAATTCCACTTCTCCAATTTTAATTGGATTTACGGACTCTCCTTTGTCTGTTTGATTTGTTTTTTGTTTCAAAATCTGAATCCAATACACCTCCCTTAATATGAAAGCACAATCTTGGTTCCAATTTCAAAACTAATTGCTAATATCTGAAATGATGCTATCATATATAAATACTCACTGGTGTCTCTTTTAGTTGGAAAACTGCATTAACTTTTTCCTAATCTAATAAGAATTTATATTTTCAAATGAATTCAGGCAGGCGTGGAGTCTTTGATGGTGTGTTGGAAGGCCTACATCAACATTGGAAACACAGAGAAGTAGTGAAGGTCATTACGAAGCAGAAACTATTCAATCAAGTCATGTATACTGCAAAACTACTGGAGACAGAAAGTGGTGGAATTTTAGTTTCAGTTGATAAACTAAAAGAGGGCCATGCTATTATTATTTACCGTGGAAAAAATTATAAAAGACCTTCAACAAAGTTAGCTAAAAATCTTCTAACCAAAAGAGAAGCATTGCGTAGATCTCTTGAAATGCAAAGAGCTGGAGTAAGTGATTGCTTTCTTTTGCATCCATTATTCTCCTAGTTCTTTTTGGGAAATTCATATCGAATTTTGTATTTTCCATTCAAGACTGATTTTCTTAATATTGTTTCAGTCACTGAAATTTTTTGCTCGTCAGAGAGAGCAGTCAATCTCCAATTTAGAGCTGAAACTGGTAAATCCCAACAATCTATGCTTGCAACTAGCATTCATGTATAACAATATTAACAAATAACAAATCTTTCAAGGTGTCTTTTTCATTTGACCAGAAAACTTAGACTTCAATGTGATAACTTTATTCGTTGTACTGTATAACTGGTGGTATTCTTTTTGCAATTTTAGGCTGATCTGCAGCAGAGAAAGGAAATTGAGCTGAGAGAATCTGAAAATTAATGCATGCATGTCTAAGACACGTATCATGCTGCAACTTCTCTCTAGTCTGCTCGGTGACTGTGGACAAGACACATGAGAAATTCAACAAGCATTAGTAATCATTGCAACATGTTTTGCAAGTAAGCTTTCCAGTATTTTATTGTGAATAATTGGTTTGAGTTCAGTTGTCCAAACTGTCCCTTGTTTAACTCATTGGTTATACGCGAACTTCCTTTCCAGAGAATCGAAGTGGCACCTTTGCTGCAGTATGGATCTGGAAAACTTTGACACAGCAGTTCTGCATGGATGGAGGAAGTCACATGCACAAATGTAAATCCTGGATGTTTGTGCTGGGTAGATTGTGGAATTCAATTTTTTATTTTATTTTTTTTCCTTTTGCAGAAATCAAATGTTTACTTCATGACAGTGAAGTGCTTTTCACTCATGTTCAATCACTATCATCTTTCTGTATTGAAGCTGAATCCTTTGAAGAGGTATAGCTTGCATGTAGAAGTTCCATAATACTTGTACAAGGTTGAACCGACCGTGAAATGTTCTATTACTTTTAGAGCAGAGAAACTTGATAGCCTCTAGCATACAATTAAGAAGCTGCTTAAGATGCAGGACAGATAATTATTGTTACGGACATGTAATGTATAGTATAAAATAATTTTTTATTCAAGTGTGCCATTTGATTGAGTGGTAACTCTCTTTAAAACTTGTTAGTGCAGTCACATTACCTTGTGAGAAAATGTCTAAAAATCATACCAAATATAATTTTTGATTTGTCCATAGTGTAAAAACTTTTATGCTAGTACACGTCAATTAAACTTTAAAAATATACACTATAACACACTCTTTTAATATTTTTCTTCATAAATAAATAAAATATAAAAATAGTATTGCAATTTCAATGTGAAGTTTGATTCTTAAGTGTCCTGGAAGCACAAGCTGACTGATAATATTAGATAACTATGGTTTCTTATCTTCAAAAGTCAAACCAAGGTGTAGTGGCTGAAGTGACAATTTATTTTAGTAAATATTTGAGAAGAAATAAACCAAGCAAATGGAAAGTCGCTTTCTTACACATTTCTCGTTCCGTGCTTATTGTAGCTAACCTGCAAAACGTTGCATATTTTATTCAAGACGGCAACAGGGAAAATGACAAAATGTCGATGTGTTCGTACTTGAGTTCTAAATTTATTTTAAAGTAAACCACACCATCATCACTTTGGTGTATGAAGCAATATTGGTGTTGAAGTTGAGGAGTACCAACCATTACTGGTATTGAATTTCAAACCAATGTACAATTTCAATTCAAATTACAACTCAATGTATAAACTACTTCCTCGAGTAAAAAGCTATCATGATGATGGTGATATTCATGAATCCGCATCAAATACTTCTGCTGAGTTCCTCTTTGAAGCTGTGTTCGCAGGAGGTGTCTCTATATAGTCTTTAGTTACACAGCATATATATATATATATATTAGTATGTATGTATGATTGTGTATATATAAGTATAATTTTATTTTTGCAGATAAGTTCCAAGGAATTGAAGCTGCATATGGACGAGTGGATGGTGTAATCAGAACAGCTACAGGTTATTGTGGAGGAACCCTGAAAAGGCCCACTTTCAAAGAGGTGAAAAATCCAAAATTAAATTTTACGAGCCTAACATGTTAAATAAAATAAATACTATTGTGGTTTATTATTATTATTATTATTATTATTGGCATTGTAATTAAATTAACAGGTTTGTGAAGGAAAAACAGGCCTTACTGAAGCTGTGAAAGTGATATATGACAAAAGAAAAGTCTCGTACCAATCCCTGTGTGATCTTTTCTGGGAAACCCATGATCCTACTAAAAAGGAGTTCCTCGTAATTGCCATTTATCCTCTTATTTAGTCAAACGGTGCATTTTTTTTTAATTTATTTTCCTAATTTTGATGTCTTCCTTGTTATTTATTTATTTTTGGTTTCTTTTATTTTTTGAGTAATTAAGAGGACAAATTGAAGTGTTGCAGAATTTTGGAATAGATACTCAACAAAGATCAGCCATATTCTACTGCACCGAAATAGAGAGGAAGCAAGCACAACGGTCTAAGATCAGAAAGCAGATGAAGCTAAACAAGAGGATTGTGACAAAAATCACACCACTGGTATCTGAATTTGTCATGGCAGAGAAACAGTATCAGAAGTTCTTTCTCCAGAAACAGTGCAGACTTTGCGAATGTTTAGGTCTACTAAGTACACAGCAATTTGTGGAGTCAGATATTGCTTGCAAACTCAACGGGTACATAAATTATATGTAATATGCTTGAGCTTTAGATTATTATTAAATAAAGCAGATGTAATCTGTGGTCCATAAAATAAGATGACAACTTAGGCTTATCATTTGTGGCTAAATAAATGGTCAATGCCATTACATCTATTTTGTCACAAAAGTAAAACCCTTGAATGTTGCTTAATTTGGACTATTTATGAGCCTTATCTCATTGAGAACATTTCTTAATATTTTATTATTTGTCATCAACTTAATTTTATTTTTTTTACTATCAAGTATATAAATTGTTCTAATTTAATTAGTAGTTTCGAGTTCAAATCTTAGATATGTAGATGTAATAAATTTTCTGAGGAAGAATATTATTGTTCGTTCTACTCGATTAAACATGATTGTCTTTAACTATTATAATCTAAATAATAATAATAAAAAAAAACTTGGACTATTTTTTCTGAAGAAAATGTTACATTAACATTAAAGTAGCACAATAAAACATTTTTCTTCAATCTTAGAATGTATTTTTGATATGCATGTATATGGTGTGAGTTTTCAAATTTTGTCGGTGACAGGATTGACATGTCTAGCTATGACGAAAACAAAAATGCTTAGTTACCATATCTTGGTTGTTGTCTGCAGAATTTTAGCTATGGAGGGAGAGATGGTTATTAATGAGCTTAGTACATTTCTGAATACAGACAATCTATCAAAGCAAACCAAGCTAGCTTGTGAAGATTTGATTGAAGAATTGAGGAGAAATTATGCAAAGGAAAACAATGGAAGCCTTTAGTTTAGTTGTCTTCATGTGTAGGCTCATGGATTCTGTTTGGGGACATTTAATGTTGTTATATTAAAACTTAGATAAAATTCTATACATAATTTTAATATTAAATTTCATCACGATAATATACATAAATATATATTATCAACGTTTGTATTATATATATATATATATATATATATATATATATATATAAAAAAAAATCAGAAG